GCGCACACATCTCGGGATACAGCAGGGCAGAACCGAGCGCAACTGAAGAGCAGAGTCTGGGACCAGACTACAGCATTTTTGCATAAGACAGCAAGACTTTTGTTTTACCTTTGAAAATGGCAGATTTACAAGTTTTGGTAAGCAAGATGAAATTGGCTTGAATCGGTTTCCATGTTTAGCACAGTATGGATCTTTCCAGTTCCTTCAGGAGCAAGTGTTGGAAACAAGCACATCTCAAACAAGACTTTTAAAAGCTACTTACACAAGGCCAGCTTCAGAAACTGCTTCCCCGCAGCTTTTGGCATACTTGGCAATAGCAGATTCCCCAGGCTTTGCATGGAGATCCCCCGTTCCAAAGGAAAAGGTTAAGAGGCTCCATGGGGGCTGGGATTTGTTCAGCTCCTCCCCAAACTTGAGCTGTCCCCGAGCTCGAAACTGCAGCCCTAACACCTCCCACCCCAGGGGATACTTGTTCTGCCTCACTATGGAGCATCAGGGAAAAAAAAAAAACACAGGGAGGAGAGGATGGGAGCCAGAGCAACTGAAGCTGCCAGCAGGAAAATTTTGAGAGGCAGAAGTCAGAGGAATAGCTGGCAAAGGCTGAAATCAGATCTGCCTGTTTCTCCAATATCCCCCTTCAGGGCGATTCCTCTTGAAGGCACCTAGGACAACCCTAGAAGCAGGAGCTGACCTTGCTCTGCGAGCAAGCAGCATCGTGCCACCTTTTCACACACAATGCAACCCTCCCCAGCTACCCTGCTGCTTACCAGGGTGTGCGGGGGGCAACGTCTCCCCTTCGCAGGGTGAAAACTGGCAGTTGCAAACAGCCCTGCCACCTCCCCAAGCTGACCACTGGGACTTGGTCAGGGCCCGGCATGCTATGGAGGGGAGTGCCAGAATGCTTACACTTCCGAAAGCGCTGCCTGCTTTGCTTCCATGAGCGGGAAAGGGAGTCTGAGCCCTGGGGTAGCCCCACAGAACCCACACACAGATGGCTCCAGCCACACGGCAATGAGGCCAACAGATGTGCTAACAACCTTGCCCAGGCCTAGTTACAGGCCTGGCAAAGTATTAAGGGTCTAATATCTGCCCCTACACTCCTAGAAGCTGCAAGAAATCCAAATCTTTCACTCTTTAGCCATGAAAGAGAAAGCCAGCCTTCAGGAAAACCCACAGCCATTTCCATCTGCTCCAGAACAGCTGAAAATCTTAGCCGCATCTGGTTTTGGAAGATCTCAGCATGGCTTTGGATTTAGGCTGTAAAAAAAAAATCTTGAGAGCAAAAAACCAAAGCTTTTAAAGTATCCAAGCAGCATAATTGAGAGTCACAGGAAAAACGCCAACATGACGCTTCATGGAAGAGTGGAGCGGGGCAACAGCACTCCTGGCTAGGCAACACGGCACCCTAATGAATGGTTCAGCCTTCAGCAAAGGACGTTCAGGGAAAGGATTTCCTCCGAGGGAGACGTTGTTCACTTCACCACAGAATCATCTTATAAACCACTCGAATTCTTCAAAACCCCAACTCCCAGCCAGGTACAAGGATCCAGGCTGGGAGAGAGGAGGGAGAATGTGTGCAAGGAGACAGTGCAGGATAGGAGAGGCATTTGCAGGAAAACAGCCTGTGCTTGGCTGGCAAACCCTACAAGCTTTATTTATGCTCAGCTCTTGGCAAGCTCTGCCGAAGTAAGGACTGCAAGATTTGGATCAGAGCTTCATTCCCTGTGACTCGATTCTTACTCATTAGCTGGCTATAAACAAAGTTAAACAAACCAGTCTGCTTTCACTGCTCAGTATTTTTGTAAAGAGTCTGAATTCCCATAGATGCCACAGATCCATCTGTGGATCTCAAAGCACTTGACAAGTTGAGTTTAGCCTCACAACACCAGGGTGAGGTAGGTACGAAAGTGGCCCCCTGATTTTGCACAGAGAGGGGAAGTAAGAGAGACCCTGAAAAATAAAGTGTCATAAAAAAAAGAAACCCAGGGAATACTCAGGAGTCCCAATTCCCCTTTTAGTCTGTCTTCACCCCCAAGCAGGTTGCATCTCTAAAGAGATCGTTTGAGAGGCCAAGCTCTCTCCTTCAGATTTCATAAGGCAAAGCATTCACGCTGCTGACACAGGGAAGAGCCGGTTGACAGTGTCCTTTTCGGCGTAAGGCAGAAAAGGCTGTGCTGAACCTCAGTACACAGATGAGGAAGCAGACCCAGAGCAAGCGCAAGCCGCTTCCGTCTGGTTCTCCATGTGTTTGAGGATTTAACGCAATTAAGACATGAGTTTCCTGAGCAGATACTGTCAGACAAACCCCCTCGTGGGGCAGGCAAAAGGAAAGGGGAAGGAAATCCTGGGAAAGTGAGAAAGTTTTGCAGAGATGCCTGTGACAAGATGCTCTTGCACACACAGCGCACCCAAGCCCCCGGCAAGGTGGTTCTTGTTCTGGCTTCACAGAAATGAGCCAGTTCAGCCACAGGCAGTAGCCTCCACAGAGGCATAAGTGCTCCATAGTGTCCTAAGCTACTCCTAGTCTCTCCGACCTTGCTGGTTATGCACATCATAAAAGCCAGATACATGCATCTTTAGGAGAGCCAAGTGTGAGATACTGTATGCTCCCCTTCCATTTCTTTTTTTAAAAAGGAATAAATCAATCTATTTTTTCCAAAATAAAACACTGTGAAGGTCACAGTCAATAAAGGAGTGCCCATACAGACTACCAGAAAGTCTGACCTAGAAAGAAACCAAAACTCTAAGTTTAGAGAAGAGAAAACTCTACCTACTTCCCATCCTTTAAGGGACATGGGCCTGATCCCATCACATACTGCACCATCTAGATTCTTCACAACCACGTCTGGCACATTACATGGAGAAGACAGGATTCAGGTGACTACCACACACTTGAAAGAAAGGCGCAGGACACTGCAGGTGTCACTTGGATGGGGAATCACCACTTTGGACCCTTGCTCACCAGGGTGCTCCCTGCATCCCAAGAGGACTATCTGCAGGTGCTGTGGGATATGCAGCTCCATTGCTGCTGAAGCTGGAAGAGGCTGGACACCGCTGCCCTGTCCCCAGCACCCCTGCTTAAGCTGGCTGCTCTCTCCCAACGGGTTGTGGTGGGTACAATGTCATGCAAGACTAGCAGAGGCCCACTCTTAGCCGAGCCATCTCCCGCTGGTGGGAGCATGGAGGCAGCCCCACGAGCTGCTGGAGAAGCCCAGGGAAAGCCTGGGGAAGGCCAAAGGGGTCAGGAGGGGCTGTCACAGCCCCCCTTGGAAGACGATGGACCCTGGCAATGAAAGGCACTGG